AAGTAAACTTACAGACATCGGTCTTGTTTAACAAAATCTGCCTACAAGAAAATCTGTCACCAAAGTACACCAATAGCTATATGAATAAATAGAAGTCACTAAAATGTATTAACTCTTTTAAACTGACTAATAGAATGAAGCCCATTGAGCTGTTTAAATGTGAATCATGTTGAATGAACCAGGAATAAACAATTGATATATTTCAATGTTTAAATAATTTCCTTGGAGCAAAAGTTAGTCACATCGAATGAATAAAAAGGAAAGGTTTAACACTTTATGTTGGGTAGTATTATTTTATCTTAAGTATAAGTCATTGAATGTATGAATAGGAGGAAGAGCTGCTATGTGATATTTTAAAATATTTTTCATTGTAAATGCAAATAAAGTTTTAAGTTTTTGTTCATGTGCTGCAAAGTAAATTCATTTTATATTTTTAAAATTAAGCTTCTTGTTGTATAGCAAGAGAAGGGTAAGCCGGATTAAAAAGCATTTTTTTAGAATATTGAGTAATATTATATTAAAATTGTTTTAGAGTTTGATAATTTTAATAAACATTTCTTTTCACTGAAGTTATATGCAGGTATGCAGGACCTGCTAAAGTCAGAAACCAAGGATCCAGGCCTAGTGATAAAACATATCCAGGATATTGCTCAACAACTCTTACAAAATGTAAGTTGTGGCGTGTATTTTCTCATCTTAATTTTCATACTGAGAAGACGTACTAGATTTTATTGAAAGCTGTATCTCTGTCAACTATTTAAGTCTTGTATTTTGTTTTTGTACTGTTTGTTTTCTGTTACTCTTGTATATTGCAGAGTATTACAATGTGAAAATAACAACCTAGTATCTGAATTTAGTGCTAGCAAGTAAAGAAATAACTTTTCAAAAAAGTGAATAAATGTAGGGATGGTTAATATCAGTCCTTCAAAAACAATGCAAACAAGATAGTAGGGATGGCATTTGCATCATTCCTACATAATAACACAGGCACACAGTTAGTAGAATGTTAACAGGCAAGAATAGGATAAATTAAACTCAATTGTGATTGAATAATTTTATATATATTGCTATATCTTAATTCTTACCTGTAATGTATTTGAAGGATTGATATTAGCCATCCTTTCATTTCCTTCCTTTTTTGAACATTTTTTCATTTCTTGTTTTTTTTTTAATGCAGCATTTCAATAGTCATAGGAAGATTGTATTTATAAACAAGTTCTAAATACGATGAGGTTTCAACTGTAATATTTATTGTTTATCTATTATTGGCTCTTTATTCCTGTTTCACCCTGTACTTAAGTTTTTTAAAGGAACACCAAATTTCTGTAAGAAAGCTAACTTCAAGGGGTAATGACAACATCATTTACACTAGAATTGTAATTATTTTTAATTGCTATTATTTATTAATAATGCTTATAAAAGCTAATACTCTATTTAAAACTATGTCATTTCATTGAAATTGGTTGAACCAATTTTTCTGGTTTTTATGTTATCATGTAATAAAAAAGAAGCAGAAGAAAGAAGAACAAGAAATTCAAACTTTTTGCTATCATATTTACAGAGTTCCCAGGACTTGTGACTCAGTCATTACATAGATATTTTTATAAAAGTAAATTGTATAGTATTGTAAAGTTCTGATGACCTATTAGGAGATATTTAAAATACCATTTCAATGAACAATCTGAGTCATCACTACATA